GAAAACTAAGGGGAGACCTGATAAGTCTTTAAATATGTTAGGGGTTATTACAAAGAGGACAGTGATATATTGTTTTCTATGTCGTTTGAAGGTAGGACAAGAAATAATGGGTTTAATCTGCAGCAAGGAAGATGTAGGTTAAATATTGGGGGAAAAAAACTTTATAACTATAAGGGGTGGTTTAGCTCTGGAATGGGAAGCTGTGGAATCCCCATCACTGGAAGTTGTTTTTAAAAACAGGATAGCCAAACACCTTTCAGGAATAGTCTGTTTACATGGTCCTGCCACAGTCCAGAGGGCTGGGCTTGATAATGTCTTGTGGTACCTTCCAGCTCTATGTTTCTATGATTCTTTAAATTGTAGCTCTGTGTGCACAACTTTTCTTTGGACTTGAAAGAGTGAACAAAGATAGATATAAATTCTCTCCAAACCAGGCTCCAGAAATATGAATTTTTCTTAAAAATAATTATTTTGAGGACAAAATACCCCCATTTCAGCATTTCCATCAGAAATCAATTCCACTTTTTCCTGTTAAGTTTTCTTAGAGTGTTAGTAGGCAAAGTTTACCTGGACTATCCTGCAATATGGATTTTGTTTTTAACATATTAAGTTATCCCTCATGGAAGATGCCAGGTTAAAATTACTGTACTTTTAGGATGATGTCCATCCTGACTCCATTGAAGTCAATGGAAGTTTTATCATTAACTTCAGTGTGATCAGGATTTTTTTTCTCTTTTTTGATTTCCAGAATATCTATAAAAAGATAAGCACGTACCACCAATTTTCTCAACACACTTTTGTAGTGACTACCTTTAAGGAGTGAGAGGGTAGTTAAGGCTGTAGGCTCACGTTAACTTTAGTGTCTCAGAGTGCCATCATAAAAATCACCAACGCTGTAACTGGGATTATGTTCCCCCCCCCCCTTTGTTTAGATGGTTAAAATTCCTGAGGGAATTTAGTACTGATGAAATTCAGACTAATAGCACTGGATTTGACACAAACACACTAATCTGGGGTAATTATGCAAACTGCCCACACGCAGGTTTTTCTAGTCATTTCATTCTTGACCTGTGACACTCCTGGAAACCAGTCCTGGACCTCTCATGAACAGAGACTGACATGGCACTAGATTGTACAGTCATTTGAAACTGATATGACTAAATGGATGCTATGACAAGACTGCCAAACTCAGTTTCACTAGTGATTGGAGTCATGGTTTGAACTCTGGTCTACAGTAGTGAAAAGCATGGAAAATACAATTTTGAAAACCACTCATGTCACATGGCAGAAATAGTGATTAAGATACAGAGCACTTTGAGGACTTAAGAAATCATTTATTTTTGTATATTTATTCTTTCACGTTCACAGAAACCTTACAAGAAGCTATCATTTACCTAGTTTTTGTTGGCTGGAATTAGATTGGCCAGATTTGGCCTTTTGCTGCCCTCTGCTAGCAGTTAAAAGAAGTGTGTGGGATAGAGTTCAGAAGCATGTTTAGATTCAACCCTCTACATGGAAAGGGGCATGACTTGACCGAAATTATGTGTCTTGGCAAGAAGAGCTATGGATGGAACAGTTTTGGCCAGCTAACTGTTTTTCTATTCTATACAGTGAGAAGACAATGACTTTTCTCCTTTGATACCATAAATCTTAAATTTAAAATATTAAGAAATAAAAATTACCACAGCACAACAAACAAAATGGATTAACTATTTTCAATTATGCATATTAGTCTGACTATTCTTCTAGCCACAATATAAGTTTTGTTGCAAACCAATTAGCCTCCTAAGAGGCTAGAGTTCAGAATCTACACAAGAGAATTTCAGCTCTTTAATTAAAACTTTTTTAGCCCTTTTCCTTGCAAAAATTGTCTTGAAAGTTGGAACTGATATAAACTAATGACTACTGTTGAAAGTAACTTGCAGTAGGGCTCTATTTCTGCATCAGAAGATTGAGCGGATGACCTAACAAGTGAGTTTGTGTCTATCTGAAGAATCTTTTTGCCAATACATCCCATAATCTTTGAGCCAGCCTGTATATAATAGTAGAATAATATTAGATAGGAATTGTTTATGAAAGGGGATGGGAGAAAACATTTGTTTTGTACGCCTGATCAAAAATTCAAAGAGTAACTCTGCTTGTTAAAAATGTCATCCTTCCCTGAGGCAGGGACTAAGGCAGCCATTGCTCATTGGAGATGTTGGAGCCTTGTGGGTGTGGTCAACATTGGCATGACAACTACTAGAGAGGAGCTCCATTTCTGTGCCCCCACCAACACTTATAGGCGCACACAGTGCCAACTGTTCACTTCTTCAGCAGCACACAAACAGCAGAGATAGCAGCATCACACTGCTGCACCAAGTGGGAGTCCTGCAACCATTGTGGCAAACCCCTCTAGCCAGTACTGGAAGGAAACTAGGACCTCCAGTCTACCCCACTGTCTTGGATGGAGATCTACACTTCTCCAGCCCTCACAACAGCTTCGGAGACGGCTAGCAGTCAAGGAGACCTGCCCACCTCTCCCCCACTGTCTTGGATGGAGATCTACACTTCTCCGGCACACACACCAGCTTCGGAGAGGGCTAGCAGTCAAGGAGACCTGCCCACCTCATAACCTAGAAGGGAGCAATCGTTGGTGACAAACAATTTGCAAAAAAAAAAGCTCTATATAGAGTTAAAATAAAGTTCATACCATGTTAGCTTTCAGTAAGATTTATTTCCAGAAATGAGTAGCTAGAAAGTAGTAATAGTCAGCTATATCTCTCAAGTCCTAGGTAAGTTAATGTATTTTTTATTGATTTGGGAGCATTTGGTGCTTCTGGTTAAACTGGTTTAGTGAAGAGTATATTTTTTATAAGTGGGGTGGTTGTATTTGATGGAAGGGGGAAAAGGAAACTGTGGATGGAAGGAACAGTTGAAAATGTCATTTCTTACCCACATTACAATTTAAGACAGCAAAAATCATGACATTCATTGTTGCATAGCACAAATATTACATTATTATGTTTATGCACTCAATGAATGTGTGATGAGTCTCGATAGCTGTGAATGGCTAGAAATAATTTTGTGCAATTATTGTTTTTACAAATAGCAAAAACTCCAAAACCCCAGTTATATCCATGCGGGGAAGCCGTTTTCTAATTAGATGCATTTAAATATCAGTCCAACTACTGTACAAAAATGTCATTAAAATATTAAGTATTAGTATGGCTCATAATTTTTTATGGAAAATAATTACAGTCCTATATGTTTGCTAACATGGTAGACAGTTTAGTAGAATTTGCTGCTGCCAGGCATAAAAACACACATCAGTGAAGGAGATTTTTTTTTTTTTTTTTTTTTTTTTTTTACACATACATAAAATATCAATCTTAAAGTTACTAATGTGGAAATAAACACAATAAACAAACCTCCCATTTGTATAAGTTTAGACCGGGGTGGCCAACCTGAGCCTGAGAAGGAGCCAGAATTTACCAATGTACATTGCGAAAGAGCCACAGTAATATGTCAGCAGCCCCCATCAGCTTCTCCCTGCCCCACTCCCAGAACCTCCTGCCCACTGGCAGCCCCGCCGATCAATGCCTCTCGCTCCCTCCCCACACCTCTTGATCACCTGTTTCGTGGCATGCATAGAATCTGGGGCGGAGGGTGGGGAAGCAAGGGCATGGCAGGCTCAGGGGAGGGGGCGAGAAGGGGTGGAATGGGGGCAAGGCCTGTGGCAGAGCCAGGGGTTGAGCAGTGAGTACCCCCGGCACATTGGAAAGTTGGCACTGTAGCGGCAGCCCCAGAGTTGGTGCCTATACAAGGAGCCGCATATTAACTTCTGAAGAGCCACATGTGGGTCCGAAGCCACAGGTTGGCCACCCCTGGTTTAGACTCTAAAATCTACACTACATTTTTACTCAGGCAAAGCTCTCATTGGACCAAATGTAGGAAAGTGATGAGCACATACTAAGCATACACAAATCTTATTGATTTCAAGGAGTGTTCTGGCTAAGTAAGGACATCAGGATATGGGCTTAGCCTGTTTCTCAGTGGGTTTTTTTTCCCCCCGTTGTTTGATTCTGTAATAGGATGTCCCTCTAATCAACGTCCTTATCCCCACCTCAAAAATGGTATTTGTAATATGGAATACATGATTAATATGAGCCAGAAAACTTAAGTATAATATTAGGCAGTTTAGAAGAACACATTTTTTCCCAAAGGTTCTTTAAATTTTTGGCAATTAATTTTACCAAAACATGTATTTAAAAGTGCACCTTTTAGGTTTATGGTCAGATGTTTCAGTTGGCAAAATTTGATGGCCAGCAATGTAGGCAAGTTTTATTAAACACTCACTGATGGAACTTTCACACTGTATACATTCATAACATCAAAAAGTTATGTCATGACCTTTTGCATCATCATAACCATTAAAATGCCAATATTAGTTGCAGAGAATTACTGTAGGTAATCATGGAGTTCAAGAGAAACTATACTGAACACCTGGTTTGGCTTAGCATCTAACAAATTCTAAGAGTTTAGTTACCAGATGTTTGTGGAACAACTTATGCATGTATGGAAAACTTACAGTTTTCATTTGCATGAACTATTACCAAACCTTTAAAGTAGTGGAAACATCTGTCTGTGAAAATATGAATTAAGAAAAGAGTCTACATGGGAAAAATGAGATTAAGATTGGCAGGATCATTCATGAGAATTTTGAATTGAATCTGATCTGTACATTGGAATATTATATGTACTGTAAACACATTAGCTATACACAGACTACATATCATAGAAATAATCTCAATAGTTATCTTCTTGGATGAAGAGCAGAAAAAACAGACTTACATATCAAAAATGAGAAAATATGCTGTTGTATATATGGCTGCTATCCTTATATAAGAATTATAGATTTTACCCTTTAGATAATTTCACAAAAATGTATATTTCTAAAATGAAGTAATTGGGGCTATATGTGCCTTCTTCCAAAGAGTTTGCTTACTTTTCTCTTCTAGATTGCATGCTGCAACCAGTGCTTTGAAAAGGACACTTTCATTGTTTCAAATGGTAAGTAAACTTAAACTTAATGTTCCATATGTTGTTAATTTATGAGCAGGTATCCTTTCAAGATATTGTTTTGGAAAAAGTTTTAGGCAGAGAGGCAACAGAAGGTGAAAGGCCAATGATTAAGAGGGACAAATCTTAAAAAATATGTCTTTTAAAATTATTAAAGTAGTATAACAAATTTGGGGGAAATAATTTCTGTGTATTTAGTTTGCATAGAGTTGGTTTCACTGTTCCTTGAATATAATCAATTTCTCCTTTGATTTGCATGGATCTTTCACCTGATGTGTGAAAGACATTTTTAAAAAGGGAAACATAGTTGTAAGACCATAAACATGGGCAAGTACAGAAGATGGAACTTTATTAATTTTTTAAAAAGTGGATTAATTTCAAACTCACGGTGTTCTTGTAAGATAGATACCACTGAATCATAGCTCACTTTCTGTCTGATAAGCAAATAGACCCTTCTGTTGGGTTTGCCTTGCCTTGCCTTCCATTCCCTAAGGCTCAGGTTGGCCACCCCTGCCCTAAGGTGTTAGGGTTTTTTATTTCCTCTGCATATCAAATGGAGTAGATGTTAAGAAGTTATTGTTTGATGCTTATGCAACTTCACTTAAAGTCAAATAGTGTCTTCCCGTTGACTTCAGTGCAAACTGGAACAGGCCCTGGACTGGATACTTGACACAGCGTATTCCCACGAGTATATCTAAACACATGGAGATTATCTGATACTCTCAAGTTGCATCTGAAGAAATGGGTTTTTTACCCATGAAAGCTTATGCCCAAATAAATCTGTTAGACTTTAAGGTGCCACCGGACTCCTTGTTGATCTGATACTCTGTAACACAGGTCCATTTAAGAGAACAGTGTCAAGTATTTTAGATCCAAAATTTGCTTGCTTGCTTTAAAAAAAATAGTTATTGAAATGAAATCACTCCATAAATTCTTGCTCTAAAGATTTTTCTATCTACCTCTGGGACAAGATCTATCAGATTGATACTGAATTGGATGCCTTTATGTCAATAGTCTCATATCAGGAAGGAATAAACACAAAGTAATCTTTGGTTAAATTACAGTTAATCTCTAAAAATGTAGATGGGTTGGAGAAGTGGGATTGACTGAGATTATTAACGCTTCCTTATGGAGTAGCAGGTGGTTTCTTTTAAGTTGGCTGTATGGATTTTTTTAAACAGTTTGGTAAATTTGTGTAATGGGGTTAGTTGTAGTTGCATTCCCAGAAATCTTGGAATTGGTACATTTTATAAATTAAAATATGAAATTTATTTTAAACAAAATTTCAATACAAACTGGCTTTTGAAAGTGTACAGTTGCTTATAATGTTTGTAATACAAACATTACAATGCTGTACTAAATGAGAAAGAAAGTGAAATTGAGTAGAAACAGACCATTGTAATCCCAAGGTCTACACTGAGTGAAGAGAAAAATAAAAGTATGTAGTGACAAATTGTTTATTTAATACAGTTTTTTAATAATCTTAATTTAAGTAATATATATAAGCATATTTATATATGTATACATATATTACTTAAATTAAGATTATTAAAAACTTTTAAATAATTTGTCTCATATAAATGAGAATTTAATGTTTATTTTGCTAGTCCTCTCTAGTTAATGAACTAATATAATATGGACCAGTGATTAATCCTGCTCCAGCTCTTTTGTTCTGTTCCATCAGTGCAAAACAGCTGTAAAGCTGGAAGATCTGGGAATCCTTGATCTGTAACAGTTTACACTGTAACCTAAATCAGAATATCCTTCAAAATGCCTTAATTTATGCTGGAGACTGCCTGATCCAGAAACTGATCCAAACAAAGGTGGCCTTCGCTCCACTCCAGTCTTTTTATGAGTGCTCCTTGGCTGGGCCATAGGATCTGGAAGAATGGCTCTCCCAAAAGGTGTTTCACTAGATAACACCAATGACACATACAGCAATGCTTAAAGGAAGTGTTATGGTAAAATACATCAGTGTTACCTTGTGCAACCCCCACTTTTGTTTGTTCTATTTACCTGTCTCATTTTATAGTTAAATTAGTAAGGTTTTCAGGGTAGGGGCTTTATTTTTGTTATATTTGTTTAGTATGATGGAACTGGTGTTCCAGGAGCTATTGCAATACAAACAATATAGCTAACCAACATGAACTGCTGAGTTTTGTTTTGACTTTGGGGTTTAAATGAAGCACCCAGAAATCAAGGTGAACCTTAGCTGAAACCACAAAGTTTGGTCTAGATTCAGGTAGAGACATTAAAACTTCACACAGTGTCCACGTGACAGGCTCACCAAAAATGTGTAAATTTCAAATAATCTTTTGACAAACATGGCTTGTATTTTGAAACAAAAGTTCTAAACCAGGTGATATTTAGGTTTCGTTATAAACATTTTGAATAACTACAATGCCACTTTCACTATTTTTATGTCATTGTAACAGTCACTTATTAATGCTACCATTAATAAAATGGGTTATCACAAAGGAGATTAAGCAACAAATAAATAGTTATATAGTTTTCATATTGTGTCTGACCTAAATTCATAAAAGTAAGGAATGGAAGAGGCTGAAACTGTTCTTAATTTGACTGCTGTCCCTACCATCTTGTTTTGTCTTATAGGAGTATAGTACCATGTGTAAGATCACCCACTACTTTGAGAGCTCTCTAATATCTAGGCACAATGGTATTTGTTAAAGATGAAGGTTGCAGTCATAATTCTAAAAGAACATATATTGCTCTAAGTCTACATGTGCAATTTGTAATAATGCCAGTTGGTTTGTGCACACTAATTAAGTCTATGGTCCTACATGTTTTTTTAGGCTTAAGCAAGACCACATCTCTTCTAATATATCTTTTAAAATGTCCATTAAATTTATATTTAGTTTTTTTTAAAAGCCACACGTGTTATTTAATAAGTTTATATGACTAACCATTCAATTAAGTGGTTAGTGAACAAAATGGAAAAATATATGTACAAATTTGTAGCTGCTGTTTAACTTTTTGATTTTGGTCTCTAAAATACCATCTATCAGCTTTCTCAATCCCGGGTTTTAGTTCTTTAAAGTTGAACTCCTTCTGCTCGTAAAGAATTTTTACCCCTAAAGGCAGCAGTAATGAAAAAACATGAGCCAAATACCCTACTGGCCTTTGTATGCCATTCTCTGCTGGGGATAAATATTGCTCTCTGAATATTCCAGTCAGTTTGGCTTGACCATGGCTAATGAAACTCTGTTGCTATCTCTCAATATGAACTCTGGGCATCCTTGACATGGAATGGTTTTAGAGTTCCTCATCTTCCATGGTTACCAGAGAGAACCAGGATGTGTTACAGCAGGGAGTTTAATAAGTGTAGGAACTTCCTGGTTAGGGAGTTCTCTGATTGCTGCTTAAAGCACAGCTCATTATGTTTGTGTCTTCACACTACATGGTGTCAGAAGTGAGTGAATGCTCCTCCTTTAGAGAAAGGGAAAGGACAGAAAGAACCCCAGACTGTCAGAGCAATGAGTGCGGAAAGTGGAAAATAAGGGAAAAGTCCTGTGAAAGCAGCATCAGAGAAGAAGCAGAACCTGTCTCAACACAGCAATGGGACCAGTAGTACAAGCACTGTGTTAGAGAAGTGTGATTTTGGCAACTCAGATAGCTACCCTTGCTGAATCTGTGGATTTGAACAATTCTGTATGGCTTCTAGTTTAGCAAAGAAAGCACAAGTATACCAAGTACATGCTTTGGGTAGTGGTGATGATCTCCTATGTGCCACAAAGACAAAGAGCTGTGCTTTAAGCAGCAGCTAGAGAATTCCCTAACTAGGAAGTTACTGCACTTATCAGGTTCCCTGCTGTAACACATCCCGCTTCTCTCTGGTAACCGTGGAGGACAAGGAACTCGAAAACCATTTTACCCCTCGATAAGGAAAAGAAAGAATACTCTAAAGTGAATGAGGTTCTTAATACCCATTTCATAGACAGACAATATGTGAAAGGGCCAAATTTAATAGGAGGTGCTAGAAACAAAGGGACACAGCTGAGACTTATTATTGCAGTTCAGTCTTGCTGTACATTACAGATATGGAATGTGAAAAGGAGAACTAATGAGACAGGAGAATTGTTGTCAGAAGAGACACCAGTTTATCAGCACAGTTTCAGCAAGACCCAGCTCTCACATCAGCAAAAACAATAGCAAATGTGAGAATGCAAGAAACCATAAAAAGAAAAGCAGCATTGTGACTTGCATGCTAGCAGCATAGGGAAGACTGCATCAGACAATATTGACACATTAAAAAGATACGAATGTGAGAGAAGCAATTAGACAAAATTAACAACATAAGAACAGTACATGACTAGTAAATGGGTGATCCAAGAACCTTAACAGGAGGGAATCTTGGAAAAGCTGTGGAAATTATGGCAAAACAGCAAGTCAGAGCTGGTAACAATGTCCAGCAAAGAGGCAGAATGAAGGAGATGCAAAAAAATGAGAAACTTTGCAATAGTATGCAGGTCACCAAGAGTAATGCATAAAATCCAAGAGGGAGTGTTGTCATCGGATAACAATGAGTCCATACTTCTAGGGACTATAGCCTCAATAGAACTGACAGCTCCTTGGTACACAACCATGAATCTAAACAGTTGAAACCTTATATTAAAAATTGATACTGTGGTAGCAGTCACTGGAAAAAAAATCAGTCCTAGGGTGGAGATCTACAAATACAATTTTATGTGGGGCTACTAATAATCCATTGGATGTTTGTGGCTAGTTCCTTGGGAAAGTGGAAAAAGACGGGAAATTCCTTCAACAAATAATATACATAACACTGGTCTACAATTTTTGAGAAGTCGTCTGCTTCAGAGATAAAATGTGCTATTTATTATGTATTTTGATGCGCTGAATTCAAATATGACAAAACAACTGATTGGCTACTGTTTCTAAGATATTTAAGTTTTTACATTTTATGTCTATGTATATTGTGTAGATAGTAGAGTTTTAATTATAAATTGTAAACC